TTTTTTTTTTTTTTTTTTAGACAGCCACATTAAAACCACCTCGAACATTTAACTGTTAATGGGAAAAAAGCCCCACATCTTTTAAAATTTGGCCTCATACAGAACAATTTGTTTTGCTGTGGTTCTCAGACGGTTACAGAGCCACGGAAACTTCCTGAAGCTTTCTGTACATTTAAATTTTGCTAAGACGGTCCAGTTCTTTTTATTTCAAAGACAAGCAAACGTCCATCTGATTCTGATGGGGATGTAGAGGCTTTTTATATCATGAAAAAAAATTATTCTGATTTGATTTCTCAAGTCTGTTTTTGCTTTGAAACGCTTCCTGTTGGTAATACTTGGAATCGATCGGTTGAAATGGAACACAGAATAAATCTCTCTCTCTCGCGCATCGTGTAATTGAGATAAAATTCCCATAAAATATATGTTTCTAATAAACTATTAAAAATAGCTAATGAAACCTTTAAAAGCCAACAGTTAGATAATCCTTTTTTTGCCTCCTCAAAATAAATCTGAACTGACCAATTGGTTAATTTCCCTTTTAAGTGCTTGTGCTGAAAAGCAACTGTTCTTCCAAGAAAGCACTAGCTGTTTCCAGGATACTTACACACGCACAATGACTCATGATGGAATAGATTCAGTAAACATACAGCTGTACCGAACACGAGCTAAGCTCCATTCAAGGCCAGGAAAGAAAATGAGCACAAATAAATATTAAGGAGGTAAAGGGGGGTGGGGTGAGGGGGGATGGAACGCAAACAAGATCTGTCCAGGCAGCTCATGTGGCTTTGCCTCAATTCTCTTAGCCATAGCTTTGTGAAGACAGATGACATTCAATTCTATGTGTAATGCAAAATAGACAATAACTGCTGAAACTTGAGACAGCTGCCAGGTGTAAAAAAAAAAAAAAGGAAAAGAAAAAGGGGGGAAAAAAAGAAAAGATGATAAATCCATAAATTAATGAAAGACATCTGCTGGGGAATATAAAAGATCAGAGAAGGAGAGTGCTACAGCTGAATCTAAAGCGGTGTTCAAACAACCTGAGACTGTGAGTGTTGTGTGTTTACCGAGCACAATATAACCTCACCTACGCGGCAGCAGGAAGGCAAATGGGGAATAATAGGCTGTGAAGGCCGCAGGAAGAAAATTCCCTTTTCCCAGTTGAACTCTGAATTGTGGCTGGAGGTTGTGACAAGCTGCATTTCCAGCCGGATGGATTGGGACTGCTTACTTACGTTTTTCTCAACCACTTTGAAACTCAAAGAATTTCGGCTTCCTCCCCCTGCTCTGATTTGCTGTGTTTCTAAGATGCCTGCTCCCCGACCCCCCC